GATTTAGTTTGGGAAGCCCCGATGGAGCAGTTCTACTCTCGGTCCGGCCGTCCGTAGGTGACTGCTGTGAGTCTGCGCGGACAGACAGAAGAGGGTAGAGCTTGTTTGTTTGGTCATCTTTACTGGAGCAAATGGTCAGCTGGTCTTTCTTACATTAGATGGAGGTTAGGCTGTTGAGTATTCCTGCACTGAGTTAGAAACGTTTCTGTTGGCAGTCTCGGGCCTACTGACTACACTGCTAGGGCTCTATATGAGGGGCTTCAAAATATTCATGGAAAAATTTCATAACCTTTTCCACAGACGTTTTGAAGCCCTCTTGCATAGAAACACAAATCATATCTGTTGCCATTAAGTTGATTCCAACTCATAGTGATCCTGTAGGACTGAACTCAACAGAGAACTGCTCAGTGGGTCTCCAAGTGTGCAAATCTTATGGAAGCAGACTGCTTCGTCTTTCTCCTGAGAACATTTTGGTTAGCAGCTGAGCGCCTACCCACTGTGGCACCATATTCCCTACCCCATGGACCGTCACCAAGACTTTTAACAAGGCTGTTCATCTTAAGAAGATGAGAAGAGTCAGGTTGAACAGCCACTGTTGGGTGTTCTTTGGTGGGACAGTTACTGTGCTCAGCTGCTTCAGGGTCAGGGGTCACTGTCCTTCCCGAGATGCCTGGAAGAAAGGCCTGGTGATCTGCCTCCGAAAACTCAGCCGTCAAAAGTCCCGTGGAACTTGCTTCTCCTCTGGCGCTCGTGGGGTTGCCACGGGCCAGAATGGACAGGGCCTACAGGGCCTTCTTTTGGGCTCACTCCTTGGTGTCGTTTTTCTGGAACCTAAGAGAAACCAGGGCCTGCTTGGGAAAGGAATACTGGCTGTGGATTGTAGGGGGGTCGGGATGGGGAGGGAGATGGCTGACCAGTTAGTTCTGCGGGTTTTGATGAGTTTGAGGACACCTGTGGTACTGGGTCAGGGAAGGTATTCTTAATTTCGAAACCCTACTCTGTGGCTGTTGTGCTGCCGAACCCATCTCCAATGTCTCAATGGTCCTGAAAGAGATCCATTTCCCAAATACACACACCGGACTTTTTAGGGTTAAACCTCAGACAAGGAGAAGTCTTTCTGTCTCTGAGTTACTGATAAACATTCATAGGGCTAGATGATCTGGCACCTTACCTCCTCAAAAACAAAACTCGAAGACAATTTAAAGTGCCACCCTGCATGAGACACCATGACGTAGAGCAGACACGTACTGTAAGGTCACATGGCCTGCGTTCCGGTGCTAGCTCTTCCACCAGTGTGGTGGACTAGAGCAGGCAGGATGAGGATGATAAGTTCACTCATGGAGCTGTTCTGAGGGTCGGTCCAGTGAGTGGACAGAGCAGCGAGGACAGCCATGAGCACACAGGAAGCTTGACAACGTGGGCCTGACAATCTACCACCAAAGGTTAGCCAATGAAAACCTCCTGGATCACAAACAGAACACCGTCTGACTTGCTGGCTTTGAACATATACCAGGAGGGAACCAATCGCTGGGGGTAGACGTCCTGGAGACGCAGAGGGCAAGCGAGGGCATGGGAGACCCTCCGTAAGGTGGACTGGCCCAGTAGCTGGTACAGTGAACTCTTCCCAGGCAGGCAGCCGCAGAGATGATGTAGGGCCAGACAGGGCTTCCTTCAGCTGCATGTTGGCCCCACGAGTGAGTTCTAGTCAACTAGACAGTGTCCATCTGCTCTGAGTTATAAGATTTTGTGTCAATCAATTATCAAAGTAAATGATAGAAACGATGTGATTCATGTACGGTGATGGGTGCATGTGTTAAGTTTGATGTTTCATGTATCTGCTGAAGGACAACAGACTAGACAACGTCTAACAGGAAAGTCCTCTTCCTGGTGGAATTCTTCTGTTTCACCTCCCAGTGACTTAATGAGCTTCAGTAACCCAACAGAATGAGGGCAGCATAAAAATTTAAAAAATGATCAGGCTGGGCACATCAACATTTATTGAAATACTGAAAAAAAAATCCATTCTGTTGGGAAATTCCTGGCAAGAACGGACACGACAATATGCATTTCACTGGTACAGTAAGAAACCGTCAGCAAGTAACCAACTTCACACTCTAAATGTGGCATGGATTCAAATCCAGCACGGGTGCAAAAGACCTGTCACACAAATAGGACTCGACACCGCCGATTGTCTGCTCACCAACAAAGACCAACTACAATGGAACAGGCCAAGGCAGTAACTTTCTATTCGAGTCTGCTGTTACTGAGTTCTGGAATCCATCAGGTGATTATTCAGGGAATGGATGGCTACCAGCTGGGTAGCAGTTACAGAAAAGGTGCTTGCCCACTTTGGAGGCACCACAGATGCTTGCTGTGGCACCCTTGCTTATCGGCTTGTCCTGGGCATCACCAGCAGAGGGGATGTCGCTCTGCCTTGCTTACGGTTCCCATGGGGTCAATTACAGGGCTTGCAGCCTACTTGGTTTTAATCTTCAGTGGGGGAGTACGGTCGATTTTAAGAAAGCACACATGGATTTTAAGGAACACTAGATGTTTTTGTCCATGTTAACAATCTTGAAATAACCCTCCCCATCGTCGATGGACCGGTCTCATGCACAGTTCACAGTGCCATTCCCCTCCACGCGCTGTGTAGCCACTGTGGGTTTTAACCCCGGAAAGCTGGGGAGGCTG